AAAGTGAGAAAGGTGGGGGTCTGGGGATTGGGGGGACGGTGGGAAAGGGGGGAAAAAGGGGGGTGGGAGAGCAGGAAGAGGGGTGCCATGGGGGTCCCTCGGTGTCCCCCATCACTGGAGCCCTGCAGCGGTTCCCTGGGGCTCAGGGGGGGCGGAGGGGGCGGATCCGCTCTGAGGGGTCCCCAACCCCTCTGTCCATCCCCGGGGGGCTGATGGGGGGATTCCCCCCCCAACCAAGAGCCGGCGCTGGGGGAGCCGTGGGGCAGAGGGGATGGAGAGGGGGGTCCAGGGTGGCCCCTTGAGCTCCCAACCTGCTTTGGGTGCTGGGGGGGGGGATGGGGGTGGGAACGGGGCATCCCCTGACCTGTGTCCTGCACACACAGGGGTGTTCCAGAAGTTGAGAAAGGCCGAGTGTCACTTCATCAGCGGCACCGAGCGGGTGAGGTTGGTGGTGAGGCACATCTACAACCGGCAGCAGATCGTGCACTTCGACAGTGATGTGGGGTCTATGTGGGGGACACTCAGTATGGTGAGTACCAGGCCAGGCACTGGAACAGCCAACAGGACTTGCTGGAGGACCAACGGGCTGCAGTGGACTGGTTGTGCTGGAAAAACTACGAGGTGTTCACCCCGTTCACTGTGAACCGCAGAGGTGAGCGCGGGGCAGAGCGGGTCCCCTCGGGAATTCCCCTGTCCCGGGAACGACCCTGGAACCCCTTAAACTCTCCCTGGGAATCGCCCCAGACCCCCCAGCCCACTCTGTACTCATCCCCGTGGGCTTTTGCCCAATACCAGTACCTCCCAGTCCACCCCAATCTCTCCCAGTGCCCCCAGTCCATCCCGGTCTCTCCCAGTGCCCCCCCGCGTCTCCACCCCACTGGGGCCACCGCTCTCCCTCCCCTCAGCCAATCAGAGCGCGTCTTTGCGATGACTCATCAGTTGCCGGGCAGACCCACAGAACAGAGTTTCCTCTCCAAGACACAGCCTCCCAGTCCAGCTCGGGTCCTTCCCAGTCCTTCCCAGTCGATCCCAGTCCTTCCCAGTCATTCCCAGTCTCTCTCATTCCATTCCAAGTCACTCCTGCTCATTCCCAGTCCCTCCCAGTCATTCCCACACCCTCTCAATCCATTCCCAGTCA